TTGCTAATGCCAGCTTGCTTTAAATATCTAAGCTTTGAAACACAGATCTGGCATAAACAGATTCTATATAATTTTCCTAGCTTTTGCCTGGGTTTTTCTAGGTCTTATATCTTTCAGCCCTAAATATTGCAAAATATCTCTATACAATGTTAATAAAAATCATCCAAAGTTAGCTACCCTTTCAGTACGCATGAAAGTGAAATACACAGTACTCACACCACTCTGCTCACATTAATTTTTCACACATTTATGCTTTTGAACTTTGCCTTTGTTTTGAGGCCTGCTCCTACCTGTTGTTTCCTCCAATTCTCATGCTTTGTGGTACAGAAGATGAGTCAACATAAACTACCCTCAAATTCATACAAGTCTGGCAGAAAAAGCAAGTGTATGTTCCGAGAATATGGCAAACAGCTGTGGGCAAGGAATGGCACTGCCCTCTGCAAGAAATTCAACCAATTCACTTTGATGGTCAAAAAACCCCCATCCATTCTACTTGGAAGGAATCAATCATGACATAAAGACCTATGCCAGCCCATTCCCTCTTGTCTCAAAAAATCTTATATTCTTCTTCCAGCCCATATTGGTAAATACATTTACAAGAGAGAAAACTACATGAAAAATCACCTGGTACAATCACCTGAATTACACCAAAAGTGTAGACATGACTTAGAAAATCAAAAGATAAAAAAAATAAAACTGAGAAAAATATTTTTATGTACATAAAGATATTTGTCATCAACTAGCATCTGAATTATATTTATGATTTAGAGCTAAACTGAAGCCTGTTGAAGAAAGAATTTTAATTGATTTTACCATATTTAAGGAATATGTTAAAACTCAGCTGTTAGACAATATTCATGTGATATAACAAATGTGCAGGTTTATTGCATACATCAGTATGCAATACTCCCAATTTCATTTATCATAAAAGATTATTCAACATGTTGTTAGCTGAAATTAGTATATTTATTTGTAGACTGAGAGCATCAAGAATTGCTATGAAATTCACATGTAAGAAGAATATTTTCTCCTTTCCATTATTTGATCACTATTTTTAGGTACTCGTGACTATGCTAATAATCTCTACCCTACATTTTCTAAAAGCAGAATATATACATAACAAGTAATTCCTATAAAACAAAACCAGTCTGCACATATAGTTTTATTATCATCAACAATAATTCCTAGATGAATTTTACTCCACATTTCTCAGGAGTATTTGCTGTTAGGCATTTAGTTGTTAGAGATCGCTGGAATCTAATAATAAAAGAGAAATTTTCAACTAAACCTAAAAAATTCACAGACCATGGCTTAACTTGTCTGGGATACTGAATGTATCATCACATTCAATAATTTAATATATTCAAATATCGATTCACATTATATTCAATATCATCAAATCATAGGTAATTATTTATGTACTTATTAAGAACAAGCAGTGGTTCTTATTGCTATAAAACATATTTAACACATTTTACTATGATAAAATTGCCACCTTTTTCAGAATGAGATCAAACTCATTCTGAAGCTTCTTATTTAAGTTACAACACATATTTCCAGAAAAGGCTATCTTAAAAAAAATTACATTATACACACATATTAAATAAGTCTGAGAAATAACTCTGTACCATAACTAGCAGAGTATATAGATAACCCATGAATACAAAAAGCTAAACAAAAAACAAACCTACAAAAATCCTGCTTAAAGTATAGAGACTATGAAATTGAGGTCATCAAATGTGTGTTTATCTGTGGTAGTAAAAATGTGTACTTCAGAAAATACTTTCAATATTAGAAATCTGCTGTAAAAGGGAACAAAAGAAAATTCTAAATATGGTAACCTCAATGGTGGCTAAAAGTAACTAGACTGACAAAAAAACTCATCTCCGGGACAGATCTCGTTTGTATCAAACTTTTTTAAAGTCCATTTTAGCAATCATCATGCATTTAAAGCATGTAAATTTGATGTAAATTTGAATAATGTCTTTAAATACACTAGCTTTACACAGGAAGTTCTGGACAGGAATATACTGTGTAGAATAATAAGACTAGGGTGATGAAGAACATCCATGAAAGTCCAATAAAAAATGAAGTTATTTTTTTGCCAATAAGACAGCAGAAACTCTGGCATTTAAAACAAATTTTTGACAAGTTAACATTCTACAGCCTGAGGACTTTACCAGTTCTCTTTGGCAGAGACAAATAGCCAAGAAAAATCATAACATTGCGTATTACACTAAGAATTCTGGTAATCAAAGGAAACTAGTTATAAACCCATTTGTCAAAAGAATTCCTATATTCTTAGATTTTCTCCATGGTAATCTCATGGTTTTGCACTGTTTTGTATAATGTAGCTTGAGAGATAAGAAAAGAAAGTATCTTTGATAGGCTTAACAATTAAAACCAGTGACTATCCTTGTAGTCAAGGACAGCATAATTGGTGTTCACCAACACTCGCCTAAAGTAGCTCAAATTAGCATAGCTTCTACATCCCTTGGTAATGGTATCAGCAGAAGTTACAGAAAATTATTAAGTATGTGCTATCTAAACATAAAATTTCAGATCTGAGCAGTTTCTTGGGAATTAACTGAGAAGTAACAAGAACAAAAGTTCTTGCTCACCATAGAAGAACTTTTTAATAAGTTTAATTAGCACCAACCCTTTAGAACAGGACATTTTTTTCAGTATTAGAAAATTAACGGAATAAGATAACATCTAATATAGTTTATTCATCTCTTGCCAGATGTTTCCAGTACAGAAGCTGAAAAATATAATGATTTTAATTAATCTAATGATTGAATGTGATGAGTATTTATTCTTTTCACTGAAGCCAATAGGAGCTACTAAGGTTGGGCAGCTTTGAACAGAAAGACAGTTTCCATTCATATTGATTTTGGTAAGTAACTCTAAGTTACCTACATTTGAAAATATTAGTGTCTGGAAATCTACGTCTCTCTAGTGACAGCACACCTTCATTTCCAAAACTTAGATCCTTATAAACTGATCTATCCATGATAAATAGACTTTTTTGTCTTTATGTAGTGCTGGGGAAGCACATGGTGCTAAGCAATAAAAAAAAAAAAGTGCTAAACCCCCACTAAAATTTCTACCCCAAAGAGTTGAAAGGGCACACAAGCTGTAAAGCACAGGAAATGCAAAACACAACACAACACAGACAGAATGACAAGTGGTTGGTATTACTGAAATGCGTTACAAAATAAGTGGATTTTCAGGAGTTTTTTGAAGGAGGATAGTGAAGGATCTTTACGTACGTTAATTGGGAGGCTGTTCCATGTGTAGGAGGCAGCGTGGAAAAAGACACAAAGTCGGGAGTGAGCAAAACAGACAAAAGGGGAATTAAGAGCGATGCTTGGGAAGTGCTGACAGTAAAGGAAATGAGGACCAAGGTTAAGCCAGAACCAAGAGTGCCTTGAACATGGCCAACTTTATGCAAGGGAAGAAAAAATTCCTGGCAAAGGCTTAAGAAGCGAGGAAACATGGGCAATTATACAGGAAAGGAGAAATGATTTGTGTAGCATGTCCCATAGAAAAAAATAAAAACAAAAGAGTTAGGAAGTGGGAGACCAGTTCATATAAAGTACCTCATTGTAACAAACATTTCAGTCTTAAATAATAGAAAAGAATTAACTTCACTGAGATTATATCCAATACCCAGCCATATGGGAGGAGTGGCAAGAACATCAAACTGCAGTGATTCTTCTTCTAAAGCTCTTAAATCATGTGAAAAATCACTATGTAGTGTAAAATCCACACGCCCAAAGTAAAATCAAACGGAAAACGTTAGGAAAAAAGGTGTTTAAAACATATGGCAATAAATGTAGCAGTAAAATGTGTTCGTTATAACTGTTCCATAAAATGAGTAAATGCAATTAATACACAAATAAATTCTATCATACAGAAATTTAGCTGATGCACTTCCCTTCATCGTCACTGCCACCAGCTATGTGAAATACACAAGCTCTCAGTGTCCATTGAACTTCGACGAAAAAAACTTTCAAAATACAAACCTGCTAGCCCATAAGAGAAGTAAAATTAAATATCTTTCAAGCTTATGAAGGGGAACAAATTACTGTGATTTTATGTGTTCTGAGACCAAAGTGTCTTTTTGAATGGTCTAAGTTTACTTTCCGTCCAATTAAAATTTTGTGTCATTTACAAGCTCAAGAGCCAAGTATGAAGAAATTGAGCGATTTGTCACTAACATTTGTAATAACATCTGTATTACTGAAGCCTTCAAAAGCAATACTGGAATTTATATTGCCACTTCTTCTTGCCAGTATTTTCAAAGGAATCAAACATATTGGTTACACTTTGTGTTTGATATCTTTCACATTTAAATACAAATTCAGGTTTGAACAACTCACATCTTATCAACTGATGTGGAGCTTGAATATTTTCATCTGAGTTCAAGTTACAATGTCACTCATGTCCACCTCTACAACAGACTATGCCAAGTTGTCTCATATATTGCTAGAAACTCAAAAAAAGACATCTATGGCTCTACTCCTCTTCCATGTAATGAGAGTCCATTAGTAGGCCAAATTAGCTTACTTGTTATTTTATTTCTACTCATACTGTAACAAATTCTCTGTTTAAAATACAGATGATTGAATGTTAGTCACTTGTCTCTCTCATTTTTATCTTGTGCATGTATGTGAAAAAGGTCAGGGAAAAAATATTAATTACATTTCCAAACACCGTTTTAGAAAATCTCAATTTAGGAATGCTCTCTTTAACTCCAATTAAAGCATGCAGAAAAATTCCTTTCACATCAAAACCCAATCTGACTCAAAAAAACAAAATTCTACATAGTCTTTGGCAGGCTTTAAAGTGTAAAAGTAACAGGATTACCAGTTAGACCCTTAATTACAGAGCAAGAAATTAATACATCTCTGCCTATGTGAACGTATGTCCACACACATCAGTTTGAACAAGCACTTATTGCACAATGTCAAACACTCAGGGAAATCTGTACTTACCCACAAATCATGCTCAGCATAATCAAACAGCAGCCAAACCTTTCTGTCACTATGAGAAAGGAAAACCTTCTGCAATGCAATCACATTTGGGTGCTTCAACTCTCGTAAAAGCTGCAGAGAAACAGAGAAGCTCTTGTTAATTCTGTGCTTAAGAAAAGCAAACACAGCAACAAAACCACCAAACAGATCAAAAAGCAAGCAAGTAATCCTAAAACAGGCCCTAGAAGGAAAGACACCACTGATTCAGCACATTATCTTCCAAACATCAAAATCAGGATATACACAGCCTCCGTGGCATGGGTTGCTGTTCTAACAGCGTATCTGCCCATCACTACCTACCTTTCTCTGTCCCACACTCAGCACAGAGCTGCCTATCCCACCTATTCATCCTACTTGCCATCACCACCTTTCTTTTAAAGTTATTGCACATAAGTATAACAGTTTTCTTATCAAAGGCAAACATCAGAATTTGAGGATGCCAGAATGAAGCTTGTGCAGCTGGTCCAGTACTTTGTCTGGACAACACAGTTCTTGATCATCACATAATTATTTTATCACCAATATTTTTTTTTTTAGCTTTGTATCCCTACCTCACTTGCCTCAAAGTTCATAGGCTGTTGTTCTCAGAACATCAGGGTGTTTTCAAAGGAAACCTTACCAAAATGGCTTTTCCTACTGGTTGGTTTCAATTACTATTCTGTAACCCAGAAATAATCCCAAATTTATTTATTGCTTGCCATGAAGAAAACTAGGTCTTGTCACTAATTAGACAGCATATTAAAGCAGGCTCTGCTGCTGGTCATCCTTCTGCCAGATTAAACCAGTTTCAGGAGGAGTTGAGAAGTGGTACTCCCTAAAACATGATTTCCATGGAATCACTTTTTGTTCCCCTCCCTCTACACACTGTAGTCACCAGCATGATTGATCATTTCTGTCTTATCTGGAAATTGCTTGCATCTGTAGCACTAGTATATACATTGCCAAGAATCAATTTATAATGGCAAAATTGTAAATGGAGTAGCTTCCAAGGCACATTTGGGAGAAATTAATCTTCCCTTTTTTCACCCTACAGAAAAAGAATCAAGATGTTTATTTTAGGGGAAACAAAATACTTATTTTAAGTTATATTATCTTTTGACTATACAGATATCTGCCAAAACAAGAAATCTAAAGAATATCATAGCTGTTTAAACCTATTCCATTTTTCCAGCAAATTAAATCATTTAGAGGCTACTTTTTACCAGTGTTTTCTTATTTTGCTTTCTTTCCCTAACCCTGAACCTCCTTTTCTGCATGCCAGACAAACCCAGTCCCCTCAGCAGCTCCTTGTGAGCTTATTTTTTGTTACATTCAGGCTGTCAAGGCTGGATGCCACAGCAGCCAACACTTCAACAGCAAGAGAGCGACCAAGGAAATGTTGGCTCTAACACACCACATCAAGAATGAGAGCTCTATTCTAGCTATGCTGGACTTGCAGTGGTGCTCCACACCAAGTAGAAGAGGTCAAAAATAATCATATACAGTACAAGGGATGAGCGTGAGCCACAAACACAAGCTGTTTGTCAGATTTATGTTAAAAACCATCTCATCTAGGAACAGACTATTGCAGGAGAGGGTGACCACAGGCACCGAAGAGATGTAATTCATAGGTACATAAAGAGTAAAGGTAAAGGAAGTCATTCTAAAAGCACAGGAAAGATGTGATGAGAAAGGAATACTGGGCAGAACCAAATACACAGCTGTGGAAATCAAAAGACAGCAAATTTGAGACAAGTGTTTCAAAGATAAGTATTGATCAAAGGCTGAGACAAAAATAAATGAGTGACTTCAGAAACTGTATTTTCATTACAGCAGACAGGTGGAAGCCAACAATGTTGGGTGACATTAGGGTGACATAGCAAAGCTACTTGTATCACAACTGAATATACCACCTACCCTAACAACATTTATGTATGACTAGAATTTTGTCAATATTTACCTCCTATACATATATCTAATAGCTAAGTGATGCACCTTTTTGGGACATGACTTTATGTCCATGCAAAACCATAAACAACTTTCACAAATGTGCATTTCAGCCCTACCTAGAACCACAAGGACAATTTCTGGGATGTAGTAAATCACTGTCTACAGTTCTTCTGCAGCAGATTGCTGTATAAACTTTAAAGAAAGATAACTGATAAATGAAACACAATACCAATATTAATTTCTTAGGTCTTCTGCAGAAGTAAATCAGTTTGAAGACTTGGTTGATTTAAGTTCAAGGGAAGAAATTAATATATTGTCCTAGTGATTGAAAGATGCTGGTGTATTTGACAATATCTTGTACTACAAGGTAACAACCTGAACATAAAAAGGATGTGCAACAACTATAATTTATTAGTAACTGAACACAGCATCATATTTGATTAGTACTTTAACCTAATGTTCCTCTAAAATTTAAGTTCCGTCATACCCAAATTGGGGTAAAATGCTAATAAAAAATGGTGTCTCAGTTACAATACATTTCTTTCTTGTAGCAGCACACAGAGCAGTTTAGATAAAAAGGCTTTGAGAAAGACTTCATAGTGAATTGTCAACATCTGTGCAACTTTAACTGTCCTGTAAAATGGCTTTCATCTAAACAGAATATGATGATTATTATTGAAATTATTAACATGAGAATTGTACAAGCATCATTTTTAGTTGATGCCAAAGCTTAAAGTTTAAAATTATGCTTTTGGATAGCCCAAATAGCATGGAACAGCTTCTAGGATTCCCAGATGGATATCTGCTATATGCAGAATTGCTAGTAATTTCTTCAACTGTCTGATGAATAGTAAGTTCTCTGTGATGCACACTGTGAGAATTTCCCTCACAAGTTAATGTCTCTTCTAACAGGGGAAGGAAAAGGTCATGATGTGAAAGTCAAAGATGCCTTAAAAAAAGTTAAGCTTGCAACAGCATTGATACAGAAGCTTGAAGTCCTGGAAATATAAAATGTCAGTAGTCATGCTGAGGTAGACTTTGCATAGAAAATCCAAGAGTAAAGGTTGTCTAGCCAGAGAAAGAGCACAAGAGAGTGTACAAGATTAAGCAAGTAAAAGTGGGATAACATAAAACAAAGAAAAAATGAACAACCGTAATGTTTTACCTCAGGTTTTAATAATAGTTATGATACAGATCATGGAATGAATGATTCACAGATAATAGAAATGCCTCACACTTAAGAAAGTAGAAACTAGCATAGGTCATATACAAGCAAAACTCAGAGGTATCAGAGGATTAGCAAATATATCACATATATTTTGAAAGCGGACACAAAGGAGACAAGGCATTTGGAGACTTGTGAATCCAAAGCACGCAAAATAACAATTTTGAAACAATGAACAGAGAAAAATGTGTGAAAAACAAACTATCCTGGCTCTCTTCTCTGATAATTGATTTTCTACACAAGTAGAAGATCTGTGTTCAAACTTCAACCTTCGAATAGTTTTAAATACTTCATTAGATGGGAAAGATGACAACTGGAATACATTCAAGGTGAGCAAGAAAAATACCCTAAAAGGGCAGGAGACAATGGGACACAATTCAAGGTAAAGTAGCTCTATATATTAACTATTGAGGAGTTACCAAAGAACAAGTACTGTGTTTATTAACAAAACCCATCTCAGTATCAACATCATGAGTGTGAATTAAGTTATCTGAATAAAGAAAGGCAGAATTCCCAAGGGAGAAAAGGAATGTGATAATGCATCATCTTTTATGCCACTTTATTCTGTGACTGAGTAAACAGAGTAACAGAAATAAAATTAAATTAACAGCACAAAATCTGAATTCATACACTTAAAAACTAACCAAGAATTCCTACTATAGACTGAAAAGTCAGCAGGTGCAAGTGACAAATGGTAGAACTGGATTGCCATAAAACAGTGAAGAAAATTAAGGCGGTAAATCTGATATTTGATATCCTAGTTGAGGTCCTTACAGGAGAGAATAGGATGTATTTATATCAATATATACAAGGCTTCTGCAATATATTCTTTTAAATACTATATGTGCTTTTCTTTGCTCAAACACCACCCCCTCCACACCCACACAAAAGATAACTCTCCTGGAAAAAGGCAAAGGGTGATCAAAGGAGCAAAACAATCTGTCTCTCAATGGGGAATTCTCAATTACTCTAATTGCTCAAATATCGAAAGAAGATGGATACCCACTAAAATACAAAGATATGAGCATCAATGATGAAAGAAATCATTACACTAGATGATAATCATGGCTGAAGAACAGAAAGACAGCTAATAAGAGATAAAATTACCCTGCAAGTTAGCATCTCATGAACAGGAAGGTTCAGGAACAGCTCCTCAATAGTAGGGAAAACAGTATATTTCATTTGCTTCTTTATCAACATTATGAAACGAATTCAGTTGATGAACTTGATATAAATCACCACTAGATTCCCTAGATAGATGCCTACGCTGTACATGCTCTTGTAGAAGCCTTCATGAAAAATGGGCTCAGTGAGGTTTTACTGATCATCTCCAGCAGATGGAAAAGATGATTGACACCAAGCTCCTACAGCAATTTGGTTTAAATGCTTGAACTGAGCCTGCAAATCACCTATCACCATATAATGCAAGTTCCTTTTACAAGTAGAGTAGCAACTAGGAAGTTTCTTGATATTTTGAGATATGTAAAATTCTCCTTTTTTTCTTCCAAAGAGTGAGACAACTTCTGTGAATGGGAGAAGAGGTGCAGTGTTACCAATATAAACAATGTGATCAATTATGAGGGCACTTCAGCATATTGAAAAACAAGTCAAACAGTACATTCCTCAAGGAAATAAATTGTGCCCAGGAATACTTTTATGCCACAGGATGAATAACGCTTTCTAGCTATCACTTACAAAAGCAGGGTGAGGACAGACACTTTCATCTTGCTGTGAAGGAAACATAAGAAAAATTAGAGAAAACAGGAAGACAAACCAGTGCTCTCACTACTGACACTGGTAAATCTTGCAGCAGACATGTATTTCTGTGTCAGTGATGACAAAACCCATCACCACCTTCAAAAATTTATTCGGGGGGCAATCTCATCTAAGAGGTGTACCCACCTTTCACATAGTTTAC